CATCAAACATTTACATTAATTTGGCAAAATATGAAAACAATAACAATTTCAAGTTCACAGAAAGTGGACAATACGGCGATTGTCCTCACTTCTCAGCAGAACCACAGACATCAATCACACGGCGGTGATTGAGAACTTTGCTTCAGATATTTCTAAAATATCTGTAATGATTTTAGGAGAAAGGAGAGTTTAAGATGGAAAATGGAGATTTATCTTACAGAGAGATGTGTGAGGGAATTAATCTGTTTGACCAGAAACGTGCACGCTCTTTGGGGAATCAGCTTGCCCACGGTACACTTGGTCGAAAATAGAACCTTCTACCTGGTTGATGATAAAATCAGCGTCGGCGTAGGGTTCCTTTCTGACTCTTTCAGCGTCTCCATGAGGACAGCCAAACCCTTAGAGAGTCGTACGAGGTTATCCAAACAGAAGTTGTAACTCCCAAAATCCTCTCTGCATCCTGTCTCGTCAGAATTCTGAACTCCTTCAGAACTCTCTTCAGAGAGTTAAACTCTGGAACTCTTTACTCCTTAACTCTGTTACTCTCATGTTGAACTCATTCCTGAGCGCAGCGACTCCAGTAACCGTCTGAACTGGGAAGTTGCCACATTTTAAATGGGTCGACTTCCGGGTCATTTGAGAGCTTTTTGATTGGTCGATGGACCAGAAAGAGGTGTGGTTTGTGATGTAAGGTGTTATGAAAAGTCAAGGGCAGAGAATGAGATAGTTTAAAAACAGACAGAAAGATTATTGGAGAAAACGAGACTTCGTGGAGCCTCTACTCTGATTATCTTCTGTGAAGATTAAACATGACATTTCTTCTCAGTAAACATTTTAGTTGACCGAAACCTGACTTTTAACATACTTACAAATTTGCTCATTGAAGACAGAAAAATCAAGAAATGCATATTAACCTGATTTCTTCTTTGAATGAGGAATAAAAATCATTACTTACTGTTTATGTAAATAAAATGAGTAGTTCTCTTCAACCTGTAAACATTGAGTGAACTAACACAATTTGATTATCAAACATTTGTAAAATAGTAATGATCATAGAGAATTGTCTTTTCTACTTGATTACTTCAAGAAAGAAAGTCTCCAGATGGCTCAAACTGTATTTCTGGATGCAGATCAATGAAATAACAGTCCCTGTCCATCCGGTCAGTTTTGACATAGGCCAGGTTCACTACACTGTCCACTGCTCACTCAGCAGGTTAGCCAAACACGCGTCTCATTTTTGTTCATAGTTACTCTTCATGCATTCCAGATAAAGTAAATGTTTAAGACACTATTTTTATATCGTCAATAAATTGCAAAATGTGCTTGTGTAAAAAAAAGTGTCATAATATCCTTAAGTCGTGTCCTCCATGCATGACTTTACATGTCAGGTTTTGCATGAAATTCAATGTGTGCATTAGTTAAATTTGTGTTAACGTGTTTAAACCTACAGGACTGCATGTGTTTAGCATGCTGTCAAAAAATATTCAGCAAAAGACTGAGTCAACTTTCAATCTGCACACTATTGATTTTTCATGCAGTGACTTCATCTTGTCAATCAAAGCATGCTCTTCATTCCATCTCATTTTTCTCAGGAGGAAGTCTGGAATTATGGTACTATAACTAGAAAAATACTACTAAATGAAGTAACACTAAGCCTTTTAATCCC